TAATTACTTTCTTAATTATACTGAATACCACACAACACAACTTAGAAGAAAAATTATAGCTGTAGCCTTAGCACACACGTACAAGCACATAAGTATTTTAAATATTGCTATAAAGTTTTTTCTAGCTATTACTTGGAACTTGCAAATGGAAAATATTCAAGTTACATAGGTTATAAAGTAAACAAATCGCACAAGAAAGAAAAATGCTTATTTGAAAAAATCAGCTCTGAAGAAAAGGGAAAGTTCAGGATGTGGCTTTTGTGGGAGACAGGAGTGGGAGCTGGGGGTGCTGGGAGATGCTGAAGGGAGAAAGGGAGAGAGAGAATATGAATGAATATAAAAGAATCACATCTTGAAAATCTGTGACTGAAAGAAAATAAGAGCAGATTGAAGACTGTATCCTTGATATTGGACACTAATTTTCTATCATGCCCATATGTAGACTGAGACTAAAGTAAATCAAAGCAACAATGGAAAGTTATATGTCAGTTGGGTTTCTTTGTGTCCACACTAACTAGCAGAGCTGAAAAAGAGTCTGTCCTAATGTATGTAGCTGTCCTGCTCCCCAAATAATTGGGGAAACCACTCACATAAATCATTCATTAAGGAGACTTAATTTTAATAATTACATTTAAAAAAACTAGATCTCACCTAGATACAACTATCAGTTCATCAATTATATGTGTTCATTATTTTAGAAAATAGTTCAAATGGGTGAGTGTAAGATGAAAAACCCCACAAATCCAGGGTGAGTCCCACTAGTTGGACAGAATGTTGCTGTTAGTATCATGGAAAAAGGATTTTTTTGCTTTCTTTCTTTTCAGACATTACAGTGATTCAAACAATTCTCTTTATGGACTCTTGTTGTTTTAACATTTACTTTATGCTGTCAAGCAACCCCTTCGCTTTGAACTCCTTCTATTATGAGGGGAGGTGAGATCTAAATGTTTCAAAATTTAAGAAAAGGTTTTAATTTGACTTAAAGAAGACAAAGATGAGAGTAATCAGAGTTCACGAGGCTTCCAGTTTATAAATATTATTGTATTCGAGGAATAAAATCTTTAGAAAACCATGAACAGCTTATATTCATGAGGAGTCTCATTTTAAATTTTTGACAGGGATTTATCTAGTCTTCATGTCCAAATATCCATTTTTAAGAGGCCATGAAGTAAAGGAAATAACTGGTCTCTTATCTAAAACTTTAGAATACTAACTACGAAAGAACAAGTTAATGTCAAAACATGCTTGTCAACAAGAGGAACTAATTATCCTGAAATAACGAAGGAATTAAGTCACAAGCTGTTGAAATACATCTTATATATATGTTGATCAAAAACTATTGAGTGGCTATTTGCCATCAGGAGAATACAAAGAGTAATAAGGGTAAGACCTGTTCTTTTTTCCCAAGGGATCGTTAGCCCAATTGAGGAAATCAATTAACATACAGGACTTGAAAAAAAAAATTAGAAAGCAATTCAAGACATTATACTAGTACAAGGAATTCCCATTTGTGCTGGAGGGGAACAAGGATTCCCTACCCGCCTCCCTCCCCCTTAGCTAAGAGGGGTTCCGGATTTGCAAAATTGGATTTTGGGTTTTATCAAGAAAATGGGTGAGCAAACAAAAAGCTCTGTGGATCACCATAATAAAGAGTAGCAGGAGGAAAGTGGGGGAGACAAAATTCTTTGAGCTGAATGTCCAGAGTGAATGGTTGGCAAGGAAACGAGGGTCCAGAGGAGGTGCACTGCTGGGGTATTAAGCTGAGAGGCTGGACATGTTCTTTACACTTCATCCCCCCTTTTCTTGCCTCATGGCTCACCTCTTGCTTCATCCCACTCTGTGATTTTGCTGAAGCCTCTCTCAGGTTTCCATGCCTTGCGCTGCTCGCATTTGTCCCCTCCGTTCTTTGAGCGGACTCATGGCTAGACTCCCTCCTGGCTCAGCTCTGTCAAGGATCTGTTACTGAGCGGATCACCTCTGATGTGACCCCAGAAAGGCTCTTCTTCCAATGGCTGAGTGCCCAGACCTTGCTGCCAAGCTCTGGCCCCAGGTGTGTTGGATGTTAGAGAGTAAGAACAAAGGTTAGTTGATGTTAATTACTTAATAAGATTGTAAAGTAATGATACCTTACATTTACTGTTAACTGTGGCTTACAATTACAATAGTTTTCTTATATATTTCTATAAGACAAATAGCATTTTAGGATGATTAAAGGGGAGAGAAGCCCAAGGGCAAAAGATTGTTAATAGTGAAGTGGTGAATTACAAAGGCTTGTAAAAGGAACTGTTCTGAATGGAAATTGGTACATGTCAGAGAGGTGCCTATAAAGAGAACCAGCGAGCTCTGGTAACCACAAAGGTAAAAGCAGCAAAATATAACTAGGGGAAGTCAACACTGACTGAGGTTTTATAATGGGTATGGCAGGACCTGATGTAACTGTCAGATGTGATGGCAGAGAGTGGCAGATCTGGTAGGGCCTAAAACAGGTAAGTGAAGTTTGAGCCCGTCCATGGTCAGCTTGACTCAATAACGGCGATATATTGCAGAGTTGGGGTTATATTGGAGAGAGAAATCAAGACAAACTGATTTATTTGAATATCTTTCTAAAGTTTGCTGAAACCACAGAATGAGAATTGCTCGCTCAGTGGAGGGGAATTGAATACAATTTAGTTGCATTGATGTGATGCCTCTAAATAGACATCCAAACAATTCTATATTATGAAAAGCTCAATGAAGACTTTTTAAAAAAAGATATGATGGTTTCTAAAATCCCCATAATGAGAAGAAAGCAAAGTAAATTCTCAGTTGACCTTTTGCAGGCATTCTCCCTTAAAGATGTTTCTGAACATCTTTGTTGAGGGCTGTTTATGGGAAATGACTATGGATCATCGGTGACTATGGGAGTGAATGTTTATCTTTTATTCAGTTTTCTGAAGTGAACTTAGTGTTCATGCTTAATAACGAATGTCTCCAAAAAGTTCAGTAACATAGGTGAGGGGAAAGATCAATTTCATAAACTAAGAAAAACTCCAGGGTTCTGCCAGATTCAGGACCACTGAACTGCTGATATTGATTCAGTACATTAGCGGACTGTAAAATCTTTGAGCGTTTAAATCTTACACTCAGGTTCCAGTGTTCTTTGACTGGAATAATATACAGTTCTTTGGTACTGTATAATGGGGAATCAGTTGCTGGATTTAGCTCTGAGTTATTTCTTTTTATGATGTAGGAAATTCATAAAGGGACATCTATTTTAAAAGGTTTTCAAAATGACATTCATGACATGTCCCTATGTGCAGATGGCTCTCTGTGGGTACTTTTGCTAAGGGGTAAGGTTTTAAAAATACCATTTTTTACACCGTAAACAGGAAAGATTTGCAGTGGGTGGATTAGTTAGGTGGAACAGGGGAAAGCATTTGGGGATGGAGACTTAATGGAAGTATATAGTGAGAGAAATGACATTTCTGGGCTCAGTTCCCAGTATTGTTTGCTGGACACATTTTGCGTGTGAAACAAGCAGCCTTCACACTGAACAGTACCATTGTCTAGTCAACTGGCAGAGCATTTAGGTTTATGTGTGACAGTGTTTGGGAAATTACAATTCCAAAGGGCTTTATCAGCCTTTCAAATAATTGCCAAAGGTGAATATAAAGAACATAAGCCACACTGAAGAGCCTGTTTTCCCTCATCATCTGAGTAAAATGAACAGGCTTTGCCAAAAGCAAACGAGTAACTTTTCCTTCCTCCGTATTGAAGACTCACATAGCTCACTCTGTTACCAAATGTGTCCCAAAATAATTGGCAGTGAATCATGAAATGGTCTTCTCCAGCTGAGTATATGTCACTTGAGCAGTGTTTCCAAGCCGTAAGGCTAATTTTCCATGTTCCTGAACCTCAATCTTGTTAAGTTAGGCAGGAAAAACTGGGAAGGGGGGGATAAATTAAATACAGCTGTGACCATTCTATATGCCTCTCCATAACCCTAGAGATGTTTATGAGGCTCACAGGTTTCAAGGAACATGCTATGAAAATCACTGCAAACTCCTTGTTTACACTGAAATTCCCGGTTGGAATTTGAAACTGTAATAACTGTGAGGAAAACAGGAAAAGAGGCCTTCTGTCGACACTTAACCTCTTTTGTAGCTTTCAGGGGCAAAGTATCAGATGACATGACATGGGTCATTTGTTGGAAGAATTGTGAGGATGTTTTTATCTTAGAATTTAATGTATTCTCTAAAATTGCTAGCTAAGAATACCTCTATTGTAGTAATTTGTGAAGCACTCTGAGAGTGAAGGCATAAAGATTGGAATATCAGAGTCAACTAGCAAGTTTTAAAGATTAAAAGGTCTCTTAGTGAGGACAAGAACATACAGTGTAAGACATGGGAGAATATTGTCTGTGTGTAAAGATACAACAAATGAGGTAGCTCCCCCAAATCAAAAAGACTATAAAGATTCAAGCTAGACTCTGATCCTGCTTGTGAATTCTGGCCCTGCTTCTCTCTTGCTGTCCCTGGCTTCCCTCCCAAATCAGGCATAATGAAGGGCTACCGTGATCCTCTTAAATTCATCAGAGTGGGTTAAACAGGCCAGACTTTGATTAAGAAACTTTTCAATTTTCAGTTGCATAACCAGTTAAGTAATCGTCCAATTAATTGGTTTTGTATGTACATAAATATTTACCTTTTTTAATAAATTGGAAGTCACCATGAATCAGATTGTCATTCTGAAATGTTGTGAATGAAAGTCTTAGTTTCCCTTTAGCTCTTTCTCAGACCTCTCAGAGGTCTATCAGAGAGAGGCTGCTGAGCCTCCTCCTCCCTGCCATGGGTACTACTGCTGAGCCAGAGCTGCCGTGACCATGTACCACAGTCCTGGGAGAGACATGCGGAGAGTGCTCTTCAGAGATCTGTGCTTGATGCTATTGGCCAGCTCTGCATTGGTTGTTCCCAAAGCAAAAAATTGTGTGACTTCACACATCTGAGTTAGGATTAGAGATACTGCTGCCAAGTCACAGTGCACAGTCAAGGGCCTTCAGCTGATGCTTAAGGAAGCCTGTGTCAGGATGCGGGAGGTGGTACTGATTCGGATTACCACATCAAAGAGGTGAAGTGCTCCCTCCCAACACGCCACACCCATTCAGGTGTGTTTTTGCTTAAAAGAAATTGACTGGCAGTGAAGACTGGAAATACAGAAGGGAAACTTTCTGGGATAAGGTAGAAAAAAAAAAATCCACACTCTGGAACAGAAAAGAAAAAAAGCATTTAAATCAATGACATAAAAAAAAATTGGGATGAAGAAAATCATAAGATATTAAAGTGGAGAAATAAACAATGAAAAAATTTAGAAAAATACACAATATAACAGACAAAATAATTCTGTAAACTTAAATATTTCTGTAATTCAGTTTCTTCCTATTTCTGCCTTTTGTATTTTAACTAAATTTGAAGTATTTCTAATGATAGCCAATTTAGTATTTTCACTGACAACTTAAGTTCTTGGCTAAACTTCCTAGAGCTATTTATGTCCATTTTCCCTCACCTGCCTATAAAAATACATCACGGGAATATTTTTAACAGCAAAGTCTGTAGGAGAGAGTCTACTTTTGGACCTGTCAGATAGTTGTGGCTGCTTCTAACTAGCCTCATTTGTAAGCTCTTGTTTGTGGTTTCTTTCCCCCTCAGTTGGTGTCATTTTTATTTTTTAAAATGTAGTAGTTTATTCACTAAAACTTCGCTTTACATAATTTCATACCATTGCAGGCATTTTGACTGCAGTGACCCTGAGATGGGATCCGCTTTCTCTTTGATACAAACCAAAGCTGCTGCTATGTACTTTTTCTTCAAACTTCAGCACAGTTTATAATACGAAAGGGAGAGCAAAAAAAAAAAAAAAAGAAATATGACCTTACCTTTTTTATATAATGAGCTATGGGGGGAGGGGTGTTTTTGAGAGTTTTTAGAATACCACTCTACCTCTAAACAGGAATATCCTCACAGTATACCAATCAGAAATGGCAAATAAGTTTCCCTGCATGTGCTGATCAATTCTCATAGCTCAGTTGTTGGTAGCTGACTTGGAGAATCATACTGAGAAGAGTTCAGAGGTTTAGTTCAGGCTCAGCAAAAAAAAAAAAAAAGTGTTGTAATATTAAATTCTTCAATAATTGTTTCAAACAACCCACATAAGTGGATTTAGAAAAATTGTGATTCCATTTGGCAAGAAGAAATGTTCTAGCCAGTAAGCAGGCAGAAATGCATACCTCCATCCACAAAACAGTACTCTTTTGGATAAATAAACTCATTTTTTAAAAAGTTAAAGGCCTCTAAGACCTTTGGAAAAGCTGTTATATTGGTCATTCATAACTTAATGGTCATTAATTAATTTAACTCCTAGGTGAGATCAGTTGAGCTGTGGGAATGAAACGGAACTTGATTATGGGAGAAGAGATGAAGGAGTGGTAATCTGTGGGCAGGTGACACTAGGAGGCTTCCTAAAACAAAATTATTTTGAGAGACTTTGACTTTCTAGGTTGCTAATGTCTTATCTAGGTCACCATGAAAATATCAAACAGACCAGGCCTTGGTTTGACACCTGCTAAGCATTATTTATGTCTTAAGACTGACATCAAACCATTTGTAACCATTCTATTTATAAGTTTCCTGAGCACCCTTCTGAGTTTCCAGCTATAAACTGTAGTAGTGCTCTTGGCACTTAGCTGATAGACTTGCCTGAAAATACAGTTCTCTGAATTAACATTAGACTTCTCTTTCAATGACTCTATGTGCTTTCATCTATAATTCTAGGAGAGTGGAAATTGTAAAGGACAGATTGTATGTAATTTTGCATAAATTGCTTAATCTTTCTGGACCTCAGAAAGTGAAGGTTAACTTAGATCAGCATTTCCCAGCTTGTGGGCCTCAAATTCCAGAAGGTCCCATCTACTGCCAATGTCCCACAAAGGCATGTGCAAGTCAGAATTGTCTGAGCACCCCAGCGTGTGTCAAAGACTGTGGAGTCATGAGGTTCCAAAGAGGACTTTCGCAAAGGGCGAGAAACACCAGCATGAGTTACAGACATGCTTCTCTCTCTCTCTGTTAGATTTGACTCATAGACTCTTCACATTTCACAAGAGTAAAAACATTTGACAAGAGTTAAACATAATCACTTCTATTTTGTAGTAAAATAAGCTTGAGGTGAAGAAAATATAATCGATTTCCTCCATGTTATAATATGATGGAAAAGCTTCTTAATGCTGTTTTAAGTGTTTTCTTCAGTTTAGTACCGTATAGGATCTTTACTATACTTGATACTTTTCCCTGATAATATTAAACAGGGATGTCTGTGTGATTGTGTATCTGACTAAATTAAATTGTTGTCCTTTGGTTGATAAATTCCAATGAGAAGTGGAAGCAGAATGCACAGTGTGACTTTTGTAGAAGTTGAACTTTGACCTTCCCCAGAACTGAGTGGCAGAGCTTTGCGGTCAGCTAACGTGAGCTGTGGCATCTTGGCTCCCTGCGGAGCTGCATGATGCCAGAAACTCTTTAAATAGTGCCAGGAGATATTTCACCTATGATATCAAAACTCACAGGACATTTTAAGCTAAGAATGCAGGTGACGTCCTCAGTAGGACACCAAAGAAAGTCACTCAGGTCAAATAGACAAAATGTGTTTGGAACCGATGTCTTTGAGAGATCAAACTTCCATTGATATCCCCAAAATTTTAACTTGGTAAGTCTTCACAGGAAGAACATGTGCAGGGAGCTACAGACAAACTTAAGTGTGGTGTGTCATCAAAAGCCAGCAACTCTGGCATTAATTAATATGCAGAGAAATGCATATTTTCCATCTCTAAGAGTTCGTGAGGTTTAGAAATAAAAATATGACCAGAAAATACAACGTTTCTATCTTAAGACTGGAGGTTTGGTGAGATGGTACATAAATTCAATGATTCTCTTATTTCAGACTCCACACCTTAGGCTGTAGGTATTGGGCAGACTATGGGTTCACTTCAAGGGATCCATGAACTCGCTTAGGCAAAGAGCCTAAACTACTGACTGACTAAATGATATATTTTGTGTATTTGCATTGTTGTTTTTTAAATGGGTGCTACTGTGGCTGATACAAAATTAATTCATTAAAATGTATCACTGATGCAGTATTTTTTATTGTGATATATAATTTACTGATCTTAAGAGTTTAAGAATTATTACATGGGAGTCTGGGAAATTTTGCTTGTAAAGGGCCTTCACCTTGAAAATGTTGGGAACCAGTGTCTCAATGGCCTTCAGGTGGCATGTGGCAGGCCATGGAGAGCTGTCTGTGGCAAAGGAGGCTCTCTTGCTGCAGCTACCTGTGTATTAGGATAAAGGGCAAAGTGTGCCTAGAGAAGTAATCTTAAGTAGACTTCCAGAAGCCATGGACTGAATCTTATTTGTAAGAATAGTGCTTGATGTGTGAAATGGTTTCTCTCCGGAATCCAAGGTATCAACTTATTTCTGAGTTACTGGACCAAAATAACAATAAAAAAAACCCCAACAGATTCTAAATTTTTCATTCAATTTCCCACTTCTATACCTCTAAATTACTGGGATTTCAAAGTTAGTGAAACTACATGACAGATATTTGCTGTGAAAGGAAGGATATTATCAACTATTAGGTGGGAGAAATACTTAAGCAGCTATAGGAAGTTATTCTTAAGTGAGACTTTGGTTATAGGAAGTGAGGGGGCTACCGCCCCCTAGTGGTCATCTCTCTCCCTCTCTCTCTCTCTCTCTCTCTCTCTCTCTCTCTCTCTCTCTCTCTTCCTCCTCACCCCACCTCAAGTGCCTTAGACATGTCCAGGTTTAATTTCCTCTAATTTAGACTATCTAAAAAAAAAATTGCCATCTATTGCTTATCTCATATTCATATCCCAAAAGTCTTTATGCTCTTTTTTGGAAGGTACACATTCATATATGTTTTTATATATTGGTGGGCATTGATTGTCACTCTCAAAGACTTTTACATTTAACAAAAAATATTTGTTGACTATCTGTTTTGAAACAACCCATATGCAATTCTTCTACTTCTACAAAAGAAGTAGAAGAGTTTTCTTTCCCTTGAAGAAACTTTTAACATAGGTGAGGATATGTATAAACATGAAATTTATGTTAATAGTATTATTTACTAGAAAACCAATTTTTTGATCTTACATGCTTGACTTGATTGTCATTGAGATGATTATCAGTGTTTAACAAATTTTTTAAGAAGAAAGTTATGCTAGGTGAGTTAAATAAGATAGGTATAGGTGTGTGTGATGGGGGAGGGTAGAGAGGGCACCGGAGGATATCCTTGTCTTAGCTGTGTCCCTTATGTACACCTGTCCTTAAACTGTACTATTTGTCTGTTGCAGTGCTTATAAGAAGAGGAAAGGCTGCTGGCCATTCCAATTGTTCTCATCCCTTTTCCAGGTAATTAGAAAGACATTCAGGACTAATTGTTATCATAATGGCCACATGTAGTAGTGAGTACATAATCTTCTACACAAGTGTCCTGATTCCTTGCTCTCTAGGGATAAAGTTGTATATTAAGAACAGGAATAGAAGTTTTACAATGGTTTCTTTGGCCATATTCAGTAATTATCATGATGCAAGTATAAGAACATAATTTGTACTAAATATTGCATTTGATTGTGGACCCCCACACTGTGGGACAGATAATACTGATACTGAAATGCTGATAATACTGAGAAAAAGACACTTACAGATTTAAAAATATACCTAAAGATTTGTAAAAATTACCCATGTCTAGAATGACTCTCTTTTAAATTTAAATAGGCATAAAAAAATTTTTAAAAATAAAAAAATGTTTTTGGAGCATAACAAGTAAAAATATTTTCAAGTAAATTGATTAGAAGATAGCCTGAGTTTGAATGCCCTCATGTAACATTTCTGAGGAATTAGTTGATTGGATAGGATAATTATGAATTGCTCATGTGATACCACAGGAAAAATATCTAATGTAGACATTGACTGCATTAATATAAGTATGATAGTAGATTAATACTGTACTCTGTCCTATTCAGGCACACGTGAGATATTGTGCTCTATTCAGGGTATCAGAGTTTAAAGATACCAACAAATCACAGAGTGTTCAGATGAAAGAAATGTTGGAAGCTAAATGGAGAAAAGCTAAACAAGCTGGAGCAATTACTCCTAAAATACTGAAGTAGTGATAGTTCAGCTCTTTCACATATACCTAAGACTGTGATGTAAAAGGAAAGGGAATGGGACAGGAAACAGTGAGTCTAAATCAATAGTTTAAAAATTCTACTGTTTTCTATAGAAAATATAGCTCAAATTTGTACCTTTCTTCTCATTTAATATGGCTTTTAGATTTTTCCTAATGTCTTCATTCTAAATGTTTACCTTAATTTGGATTATTGCAATAAATGTCTTGTTTTTACTGCACACCTCTGAACTAACTTATTTTAATGCTGTTCCTTAATGATTCTTCTTAAAGTATTGTTGTCATAGAGCCACAACAATTCTAAACTGTGGCTGACCTTTATATACCACCATTCCTAATTTATGCTGACTTTACTTATTTAATCTTATTTTCTACTATTCCTGATGGACCATCTACTCAAGTTAGATTTTGATTACTCGTTCGATTTCGTTGCTGGTAATTAGTCTGTTCAGATTTTCTGTTTCTTTCTGGGTCAGCCTTGGAAGGTTGTATTTTTCTAGAAAGTTGTCCATTTCTTCTAGATTATCCAGTTTGTTAGCATATAATTTTTCATAGTATTCTCTTATAATTCTTTGTATTTCTGTGGGATCTGTAGTGATTTTTCTTTTCTCATTTATGATTCTGTTTATGTGAGTAGACTCTTTTTTCCATGAAATTTTTCTTTTCTAAAATCATCAGGATTTTAGATAATGCTAGATGTGAAACTGATATTGTGTAGACAATTTGATTAAAATTTTCCTCTAATAATTTGTTTTATTGGTACCATAAGGATGAGATTACTGATCTTTACACACAATGATATTACCTACATTTTCTAATTTTAGGTAGGGTAAAGTTTTTAAAAATACAGAATTCATAATATGTGTAATATTGGATAGACCTTAGATTTTAAAAAACACTACAAAATGAATGATACTGAGATGAATTGGCAAGATCTGAATGTGGACTGTATATTAGAGAATAGTAATTTATCAATGTAAAATTTCCTAGATTTTGTTATTATATTATGGTTATACAAAACAAGGAGTCTGAAAAAATATTGGTACTAAACATACCACATATAAATTAATAAATATGTTAGTAAATAATTAAGTAATTTTGTAAATATTAGTAAATAATTAGTAGCAAACTGAATTTACTATTAATAAGAATATATAGAGAAATGAGAACAGGGAGGAGAGAGAGAGAAAAGAGATTACAGGGCACAGCAAAATGCTAAGAATCTAGTAAATCTTAAGTGAAGGGTAAAAAGGATTCATTATACTGTTTTTGTACCTTCTTTCTATATTTGGAATTTTTGTTCAAAATCAAAAGTAAGAAAAAAAGAAGTAAAAGCCATAATCACCAGGTAATTTAAACATTTTAACTTATAAAAAATGAAGGCCACTGTTGTTTACAATAGAAGGTCTGTTAGGCACTAAGAATGAGCTGTCCATTCTCTGTTACCTCCACTGTCATCATTCATTATCCTAAGGAATTGGTTCTTTAGTCCATTTTGAAGGAAAAGCAGGAAGTGTTCAGTGAATGCTGCAAATTGAGTGGCCAGAAATATACTTGGGAATCTTCAGGCTTATTAAATCTTCTACTATATGCAAAATTTACAAGTAGATACTAAGAACAAATAATTTCCAACATTATTGCTAAAATTAGTGTAGCACTGACCTGCTATTCCACTCTAAGAACATGTCTCACTACAGTGAGGAGCTATTTTGCAATTAATAAATAATAAAAGAGGAGAGAGATTGCCCTGCAATATTTTTCTTTGGGTCAGAGACCCAGAACTGAAATTTAAAAACCATTCAGTGATTTCCTAAATGTTCAGAGGACTTTTCTTGGCAGACTAAGCTATAGGATTCTCATGAATTTAGCACAGCGACTTCAGCTAAAATTTGCCTGAAACTCCTTGACTTCTTTATTATTATATATGCGTACAACTATTTTCTGGGAAAACTGGGATGCCACAGACCACTTTGAGATATTTACTATTTCAGGGAAATTTTTTAAGGTTGGAACTTTAATCATTAATTACAAGATATTTAAAATCGTGTTTCATTAAAACATATAACTAAAACAAGCAAAATTCTGAAATTAAACTCTAAATATTTAGTTCCAAATGCTGTACAAAGGTGAATACTTACTTTAGGCATTTTCGGCATTGATTTCAACATTTTTTGTAAAGTATTGATTTTGTTAAAAAGTATAGATAAAAATAGTGAACTAATTTTATGTTTATGATAGCTTTGACTCAGTTAAAAAGACTGGCCTATTTTCTAGATATTCTTGAATAAAAGCATTGAATTCAAATACAGGAATGTTAAACTTAGCTGCCGTTGACACTATTTAGGGATAAGAGATAAACAGCCTGTAACAAAATTATTGGGTAAATGAAGATCAAAGAGAAAATTCTGGTTGAAATAAAACTTTGAAAGTGTGCTATGCTTTCCATTGCTGAGGGGTAATGTGGCCACAGGTAACATAAAATCTTCCTCTTCCTTCTGTCTACGCAGGGTGCTAATTGCAAAGGCAAATAGCCCTCGAGTGCAGGAGTCGTTACTCAGCATCAGGTAACAAAACCATGATGGGAACACAGCTGCAGAACTCTCAGCATAGACAGGTCCAAAGCAAGAGGCTCTAGTAAGAGGAGCAAAGAGTAACACAAATTTCTTCATCTGGAGTTTTTAAATACTTATCCTGTATTGAACTGGGGTAGAAGGGAAAATATGTTTCTCTTGAAATGCTCAAAAACTTCCTGTATACTTTTGTGATTTCTCCCCCCTTGTATAAATGGTCATGGTAACCATACTTATTATTTAAAAAACTTATTAGTCTTTCTGACTGAGCCCAGACACCACACACTTAACCGTCCCTGGTTCAGCTCCATTCCTTAGCCTCCATCCTGCCACTGGTTGGAAGGGATGAGGCATGTTCTGGTGTTTTCCTATTTATAGAACAGAGGCAATGATCAGAAATGACAGATGGAGCTTATGTTAGCTAGGGTTTAAGTGCAAGTCTTAAACTCTAAGCTTGTGTGTGAATTTAGAGAATGAGAAGTGGCTCTTTATTAACTTGCCCTTATCCTTTTCTAATTGATTTCTATGAATGACTATATGTATGCTTAGGAACTGGCAAAGACAAACTCTCTTATCTACTAAATGAGAACTTCTCATTAACATAAACTGCTAAATAAATAAAGGATAGTACATCCATATCTGTTATTTGGGGAGCTGGTCCCCCTGCCCCCCACCTCCATCCTGAAGTATTAATTGTTAAGCTTTAATATTTTAAATTTACTTAAGAAAAAAGGCAATCCATTATCATGTTTGAATTAGTTCCTATCTTACTGGGCTTAGAATACCATCTTTAAGTGAGAAAAATATAGGCTATATTCATCTCAATTGATTACAGATTTTTAAAAGGTCAGGTCGGGCTCTGGATTATGCTATTCATTCATTCATATAATAAATAATTATTGAGTATGTGCCATATGCCAGGAATTTACTGGAGATGTAAGAGTAAAAAAGTCACAGTCCTCACACCTATGGGTTTGGTATCCTATGAGGGATATAACCTAGTATATAGAACAATTATAATACAGCCCTGTGAAATATACTAAGTTCTAGGATGAAATTAAGTACAAGGTGCTATGAAAATCCATACAACTAACTCTTTGGAACAAAGGTATTTTCCAGAGAAAGTAGTGTCTGAGCTAAGAACTAAAGGACATGTAGGCACAAGGAGCTGAAGACCAGAATCGGAAGAGGGAAGAGGGGGCAACGGAAAGGTAGAAAAGCATTTCAATGAGAGGCACCAGCATGAACAAGACCAAGGTTAGAGACAGCATGAGGTGAAATTAGATACTGGGGTGGAGTGCGAAGAAATGAGGTTGGTGATTTAATTATTAAAGGCAATTCCCATCCTTGTTAGGATTTAGAGTTTTACCTTGAATATAATGAGCAGTCTTTGTAGATTTTTAAAGTAGGGGCAAACTATAAAAATCACTCTATCTGCACTTGGAAATGGGTAATAGTAGGGAAATACTGTTAAGAATACAGTTAAGAAGCTATTGCAATGATTCCAGCAAGAATGATGATTAAAATCAAGGGATGGAGAGAAGCTAGCAAATTTGGGAAAGATTTAGGAGGTGGACTCTAAAAGACATTGTAATTATTTGGATATAGAAAGAGAGAAAAAGAGAGAGAATAAATGGTGGTGCTCACAGTTCTTCACAGGGCAACTGGTGGACAGTGGAGATCTTAACAGTTATATATGTGGTATGGAGTCCGAGAGAGAAATTCAGTTTTCAGAAAGAGATTTGAATGTCATCAGCATATAGACTGTAATTAAAATCTTGAAGATGCATGAAACTACCTGGAATACATGTAGGTAAAAAGGAGACCTGAAGCATAACTATGAGAAGAAGACCAGCATAAAAAGAATCAGTTGAGCAAGGTAAACCTGCAAAACAAACTGAAATGGAATGCCTGAAGAAACATGAGGAAAACCCGGGGCCGATGGTGTCAAGGACGCCAACAGAAGGCAGTGTCAGTAATGTCAGTATCATGTGGGTTTCAGTAATGTGGACACCAAAGAGTATCTTCCTGCTTATTAATGGCCCATGCCTTGAACACATCACTTCCCCAGCCTTGCAGTACCTTCCCTTTCTCCTTTGGGCAACCCATTTTCCTTCCCTCTCCAGATCTCAAATTGTAATCAGAGACACACATATGTTTAACTGTTACGTAAGCGTTTAGTTTGGTTCTAGAACAGAGGAAAACAACTTTGTGTAGAGTAATAGAGTTATTAGGCTAATTATTTAGAACTGAAATTTTGGACTCAAACAGAAGTAGGTTTGAATATTGTTACACATTTAGTAGCTATGTGACATTGGGTAAGCATCTTAAGTTCTTAAGCTCAGTTTTCTAGCCTGAAAATTGGAGATAATAATAATATGTACCTTTAGTATTTTTATAAAAATTAAATGTGATAATTCATGTAAAGTGATTAATATATTCATTAAATAGATACTTCTTAATAATATAATTGGCTCCATTAACACATTATAACCAAATGAACTAAATATCAAGTAATCTGGTAATTCTTGCTATCGTGATTTTGTTTTATAAAAACCACAAAAAATACTGGTGGGAAAATCAATAAGGAAACAGCAGATTTGCACAATACTATCGACTAAATGGACTTAATAGACATGTATAGAACATTTCAGCCAATAGCAACAGAGTACACATTCTTTCCCAGTGCACATGGAATATTCACCAGGATAGATAATATGTCAGGACTCAAAACAAGTCAACATATTTAAGAAGATTGAGATCAAATCAAGTATCTTTTCTTATCATAATAGTATATAACTAAAAACCAATAGTATATAAAAAATCAACTCAAAATGGGGTTAGAGACTTAAATATAAAACCTGAAACCATGTAAGTATTAGAAGAAAACAGGAAACAAGTTTCTTGACCTTGGTTTAGGCAGTGATTTTTTTGGATATGACTTCAAACTTACAGTCTACAAAAGCAAGAATAGACAAATGGGATTGCATCAAACTAAAAAGCTTCTACACAACAATATAGTGAAAAGACAGTCTATAGATGGGAGAAAATACTTGCAAATCATACAACTCATATAGTTGGTTAATATCTAAAATTTATAAAGAACCCAAACAACTCAATAGCAAGAAAAGAAATAATCCAATTAAAGAACAGGCAAATGACTGGAGTAGACATTTCTCAAAAGAAGACATACAAATGCCAAGAGATATATGTAGAGGTTGTCAACATCACTAAACATCAGGGACATGCAAATCAAAACCACCATGAGACATCACTCATACCTGTTAGGATGTCTATTATTGAAAAGACAAGAGATAGCAAAGCTGGCAAGGATGTAGAGAAAAGGAAACTCTTGTGGCACTGTTTGTAGGAATGTGAATTGATACAGCCATTACGGAAAACAGTATGGAAATTTCTAAAAAAAAGTGAAACTAGAACTGCCTTATGATCCAGCAATCCCATTTCTGGGCTTATACCCAAAGGAAATGAAGAAATGTCTGTAGTTCTATGTTTATTGCAAAAGTTTCAGCAAGAAATAAAATAAAAATCTACCATAATACCCCACCCTTTGAGAGATAATCAGACTTAATAATTTGGCATTTTTTCCTAGTCTTTTCTTTTGTGTGTGTGTGTGTGTGTGTGTATGTGTAAACATGCATACATACAGAAAAGAACATTTTGCATTTAGTTCACGACAACCAAGATATGAAAACAATCCAATTGTCCATTGATGGATGAAAGGATAAAGAAGATGTGGTATATAAATACAAGGGAATATTATTCATCCATGAGGAAGAGGTAAATCCTGCCTTTTGTGAAAACATGTATGAATCTGGAGGACATTATACTAAGTGAAATAAGTCAGACAAAGAGTGACAAATGCTGTATGATCTCACTTGTATGTGGAATGTAAAAAAAAGAATTAAACTCATAGAAGCAGAGAATAAATTGGTGGTTACCAGGGGCTGAGGGAGAGGAGAAGTAGGGAAAATGAGAACCTATTGGTCAAAGGATATAAAGTTGTAGTTATGTGGGATGAATAAATCTAGAGATTAATGTACAAACATGATGACTATGCTTAATAATATTCTATTGAACACTGAAAACATGCTAAAAGTAAATTTCAGGTGAACTTATCACACACAAAAATGTTAACCATGTGAGGAGATGATAATTAACTTGACTGTAGTAATCATTTCAGTATGTATATGTACATCAAATCATGTTATGCACCTTAAACATATAAAATTATGTTAAAAATACATTACTAAATTTTAAAAAGCTGCCAACAAAATGTTAGTCTGATTTTCACAGCTTACTTTGAAATGCATCAGATGGATTTATGCACATAAATGGACAGATTCTTAGAGTTCTTCCTGAAGTTAATTGTAGTATTTCTCAAATAGAATTTTAACTTATTTTATCACCTTCACAAATACATTCTTTTAAAACTTTGTTTAATGGTATATAAACATTTTGACAGAGATACTGAATACCCAATGTTGAGATCCAGTACATATTTACTTCAAGTTGTTGTTAATATCAGAAACTTTCCTTCTCTGCCCAATTACACATCCTCTTAATTACAGAAACCTTGAATACAGATGAGCCTTAGATCAGGGAAGTTTTAAAAATTATTATTTAAGGAACCTTGTAAACCACAAACAAATAAGATTAAGATTATGTACCTTTATCTCTACTTATAATTTTTGGTACTGTGGACAGTTCAACTTCTGAAAACAAATTAGCATTAAAATAGCTTACTCAACATCACTAAAGCCAAATGATAAGTGGATATATGCATGCTTGTTACAAACACCAATTGAGTCCTAATTCTTAGGTACTTGATAGCTTCTTACCAATTTCTGATATAGGGAGGTTCTGTGATTTATACATCAGTCTGAACACAGCTATGTTGACTAAGAAGGTTAATTTGTATTTGTTGAATGCTAAATCACTTTCAAACTATGTTTCAGGGAAGCCCTGCAGAAGCT